CCTACAGCCCCTCTCCGACGCCGCGCTTGCGCTCTCGGCCACACACTCTACGAACCAATCCTACGCGACAAAACTCATTCCAATTGGAACAATTCGCTCAAAAAAAAAACCTGATTATTGAAAGAAATATTAATACAATAATTATTTGATACAATAAGTATTTATTTATTTACTTAATTAGAAAAAGTTACTAGGATCTTTAATATTTCTTTAATACTGAATAGAATAATAAATACCTCATCTATGAGGAAGCAATAATGAATAAATAATTATTCAATAAAATAATTATTTCTCTGTGTGGAAAATCAAACTTGAATTTAAACTGAAAAATTATTTCTATTCTCAATTTCAGTTAAAATTGGAGAGTGAAAAAGAATAAGAAGAAGAAGAAGAAGAATAGGGGAAGGGGAAAATATTTTTACTCGGGAACGTGCTCGCAAATAGGATTAATTAATAATAACAACAGTGCTAGTTTTGTAACAGGTAAGGCAGACCGTAGGAGAAGTTGGTAGTTTATGAATTAGTAGAAGGAGGAGGGCGATTGCGCATCAAGTCGAGGTCTTTGCACCGCAGGTCGCGGCTGCTGCCTTGCTCTTTCCTCGTTTAAGTGTGGTACAGATTTAATTATTCACGCGTAATTACTCCTCTCCTGCTTGTACTTGCTACCCACCCGCTGTAACTCCTCGAGTACGTTTCTCTCTCTCTCTTTCTTCCTCTCACTCTCTTTTCTTCTCTCTCACTCTCTTTCTTCTCTCTCACTCTCTTTTCTTCTCTCTCATTCTCTTTCTTCTCTCTCACTCTCTTTCTTCCTCTCTCTCTTCCTTCTTCTCTCTCATTAGAGATTTCTCTCTCTCTCTCTCTTTTCTCTTCTCCTTTACAGTTTCTCTTCTCATTCGTCGTCCACCACTATATACTCATTCTCCTTCTACTTGTTCACGACGGGGGGTGGGTGAGGGGGGAGGGTAAGGTTAAATGGGTTATCCTGCGATACCTTGAGTTTAGCGCATAGTATAGTTGCCTGGCGGGCACTAATTGACTAGCATCGTTCATCACTCTCATTTACTCTCGCTTCTTCTATCGTTAAGCCTCTTATTTCTTTCGTAGCGTGAAAATCCCCTGCCCAACAATCTCGAATTTGAATAATTCTCCATCAACAAGAAAACAAAGCTCTTCTCAACTTTCCCTCCCACCCAAAACTCCCTTTTTTTATTATTCACAGTGATCCCAACGCTGTCACCTTCGACATTCTTATTTCTCTTACTCTCAAAATGACGCTCGTTTCACTAAATTTTTTCGATACTTTATGACAATTTATTAAAATGTGTTTCAACTTCTCGTTGAGTAATTAATTCTTCTTATTAATTGTTAATTAACAATTTTTAATTCTTTATTCTTAATTAAAAATTTCTAATTATTAATTGACAATTCTTAAGTATTAATTAATTATTTTCTAATTAATTAATAATTTTCTAATTAATTAACTAACTCGTTAATTGTTTATTAATCATCCGTTTTAATAATTAATATTTGAAAAGTAATATTTTTAATTTTAAATAAAACTCTTTGAAATTAATAAGAAGGAGATGAAAAGTGCAAATTATTATTTTTTTTAATATATATTTTAGAAAGTTTAATAAAGCCCCTTTGAAAGGTTTATTATATTCTACGATGAATCTTAATAAACTTTTCTCTAGAGGATTTGCACTCTTTTCTTAAGTATAAAACACATTTTAATGAAAAGTGTAATAAAATATTTTTTCTTCTCTACATTCATTGTTCAGAAAGCGACAGCCTCAGGATCGCTAATTAAGAAAATAACTTTTTGTTCATAGATAAAAATCATTTCTTTCTTTTTACAGATTATTAACAAAATAATATCAAAATTAAAGCAATTTTATTTTTAATTAAATGCAATTATTATAATAATTATTATTATAATTAATATTATAACTATTATTATAATTTTTATAATTATTATAATTATTGTCATCTTTTTGTATAATTAAAAACAATTCCAATAGAAAAAGACAATTGCAATTAAAAACATTTACAGTAGAAAGCAACAGTAATTGAAAAAAAAATCAATTGAAATTAAAAACCTACTGTAATTGTGAAAAAACAATTAGAAACAAATACAATGGAAATTAAATAAATTTAAATTTACACAAACAAATTAATTTCAAGTGATAAAAATGAATTAATTTGAATACAAACGAATTAATTTGAACGCAAATGAATTAATTTGAAAACAAATGAATTGATTTTTAAGTAAAATTAATTAATTAAAAATTGTGCAGAAATTAATCAATATTTTTTGTTAAATAAAAAATACACTGAATGAAAAGAAAAAATTATTCTACATAATTTTTAATAATATGTATATTATTTTGTTAAAAGAAAACACTGAGATAATATTTTAAAAACGAAAAAAAATGTTTTTTTTTTCAATAAACAAGAAAATTTAAAAAATTTATGTTAATTAATTCCCTTTAAGAAAAAAATTTTTTTCTTTTACTTATTCTTATACACCAAACAGTTTTTGTTTGAAATATTTTAACACTTTATCACTGGGAGAGAGATATTGAAAAATTGATTCCAACTACTTGATTTTTCTTCAACATATAATCTCTTTAAAGTGTAGTGCTCTCATTTTATGAGTTATTTTCAATTAATTTTTGTAAAATATTCTTCCTGGAATTTATGAAACATTTAAAAAAAAGAATTTCATATTCTATCAAATTCTCCAGGGATAAGAAACTCACTCTTTCTCTCTCTCTCTCTCTCATTCCAATTCAGAAATTCAACACGAGAAGATTTTTCAAGTTAATGGAAAGATTTAATAGAGCAAAAATTAAGGTAATTATATACTTTTTTCTTTACTTTGATCTAAAGCGGAAAAGTATTTTTATACCTTTTAAAGTAAATTTGTAAATTTAACGGAAAAATAATATTTAAAATTCTCTTTCTTTGTTAAAAAGAAAAAAAAGTGTATATAATTTTGTATAAATTTGTATATTATACATTAATTTTTTTTTTATTTAGTAATTTAATTGATTCATTAATCAACTCTATAAGCGCAAAAATTGTCTTTCATGTTTCAGTAAATATCAATATTTATATATACAGCATTTAGGAAAAAGCTGATAAAGCAAAATTCGTACATTTAAACAAAACGTTAATTTACTCAGGGGTTTATGAAAATGCTAAAGAAGCAAAAATTTCAACAGCTAAAATTTTTTTGCAAACCTCTATTCTTTAACAAACCATCAATTTCTATACAAATAATAAATAAAAAAATTTTTACAATAAATTAAAAGTTTTAGAAGAAAAAATACTAATTCTCTTTTTTGAAGTGAAAAAAAAATTAAATTAGGAAATTTTTTTCTCTACGTTACGATCAAGATTATTTTTGTATAAATTAAATAATTAAAAATCACTGAGAAAAGTAAAAGAAAGAACATAATTCAAAATACAATTACAAAGGGGAGAAAAAAGCCGGAAATTAAAGATTGAACGAACGAAACAAGAACTATAGTGCATCAACGATAAATGACTTCAGAGTCGTAAAAAATTTTCTCTCAACCTAAAAATTAGAAACCAGTGGTTTGCAAGAAAAGGCGCCTTCCCTGCAAATGAATCGGACATAAAAGACAATTATAATCAACGAGAACGAGACTAAAAGTAAAGAACAAGAGGAAAAGAGAAAAACAAAATTTTAAGAAACAAACGAAAAGAATTTAAAAAAGGCAAAAGAAGAAAAAAAATAGAAAAGAAGAGTTTCTCTTTTTTCTCTTTTTGCTGAGAAGAAAGGGAAAGAAGAAAAAAAAGATATATTAAGTAAGAAAAAGAACAAAGAAAGAAAAAAATTCATAAAAAAAGAAAAGAGGAAAAAGAATTTTGTATTTTTTAAGTAACAAAAATTATAGAAAGCAAAGAAAAAAAAAGAAAAAAAGAGCATAAAAAGAACAAGAAAAGAGAAAAAGCAAAAAAAGAGCAGAAGAATATTTTTTAATTAAAAAAAATATAATTGAAAAAATGAAACAAAGCGAGAAAAATATCAAAGTAATAGAATAAGAACATAAAAAAATTAGGAGCAAAAAAAAGAATTATAAAAAATACAATAGAAAAAAGATAACACAGAAAAGATAAGAAAAATGAACAGAAAAGAAAAACCAGAAAAAGATAAGAAAGAAAAAACACAAAAATCGGTAAGAAAACGAATATTATGACTGCTCATCAAAATAAATATTTCCACTATTTTAAGTTTAAATAAAGTAATTAAAAAATTCTTTGGGCAGGGGTAATTGTTCAGTCTAGAGGCGTTTGCCATTCATTCTCTTCTAAACAGTCATTCACAAAAAAAACAAAAAAAAAAATTTGAAAACCTCACTAAATAAATAGAAACATCTATAAATAACTTAAGAACACAAGAAAGGTATTACAAAAAAAAAAAAAATTATTTGTGACTTGGTGTGCGCCTTAATAAAAAAACCGTGATTTTAGGGACGTGTGAATTATTTTCGAGCACAAGCGCGTTTCTCAACAATGGGAGAAAAGATGATGATGAAAAAATAGAAATTTTTTTTTAATTACACTGAAAAAAATTCCGATTGGAATAACTAGAATTCTGGATATTTTTAACTAGAATGGAATGTTACTAGTTTTTCTGGTTGGATCAACTAAGACCAGAATTCTGGTTCATTTAATCAGACATTTGGATAATTTAACCGGAATTATAAAAAATTTAACCAGAATTCTAAAAAATATAACTAGAATTCTAATTAATTAAAGGCAAAATTCTTGTTATTTCAACTAGAATATAGTGTTAAATATACTTTTATTCATTCTTCTGGTTAGAATTACAGTAACTACAATTCTAATTATTTACACCAGAATTCTAGCTAATTTAACCAAAATTCTAATTATTTACACCAGAATTCTAGGTACTTTAACTAAAATTCTAGATAGTTTAAATAGAATTCTGGTTATTTTAACTAAAATGTAGTTCAAAATTAATTTTACTCATTTTTTTTGTAAAGATAACCAGAACCAGAATTTTAGTTACTTGAACCAGAATTCCAGTTAATTTAACTCAACTTCTAGTTAATTTAACTAGAATTCTGGTTATTTTAACAAGAATCTATTGCTAAATATACTCTTACTCATTTTCTAGTTAGAATAACCGGAACCAGAATTTTAGTTAATTTAACAACAATTCTGACTAATTCAACTAGAATATAGTGTTAAATATACTCTATATTCTTGATTAGATTAACCATAATCTGGATTCCAGCAAATCAATACTTTATTCTAGATGAAATAACCAGAATTATGGTTAAACTTTATTAGAGTTAATTTAACCAGAATTCTAGTTTCTTAATAAAAATTTTGATTATTTTCCCTGGAGTTTACTATTAATTGTAGTCTTAATACGTTTTTCTGGTTTGTTTAATCAGAATCAGGATTCCACTGAATTTCACCAGTATTCTTGTTAATTTAACCAAAACTTTAGTCAATTTGACCAGAATTCTAGTTGGATTAACTGGAATATAGTGTTAAATATTCTCTTACGATTTCTTCCGGCTAAATTAATTAGGAACACAATTCCAGTTAATTTAAATAAATTTCTATTGTTCGTTTAACCATAATTTACTATTTTCTCTGGAAGGATTATTTTAAACCAGAAAATTCCACTTAATTTAACCAGAATTCTATTGTTATTCAACCAGATTTTACTATTTTTTTTAAGGTTAGATTAATTAGAACCAGAATTATAGTTAATTTAACCATATTTTAATGTTTTCGAGATAGATTATTTCAAACCAGAATTTCACTTAGTCCAACCAGAATTCTATTGTTATTCAACCAGATTTTACTATTTTTTTAAGGTTAAATTAATAAGAACCAGAATTATAGTTAATTTAACCATATTTTAATCTTTTCCAGATAGAGTTTTTCAAACCAGAATTTCACTTAATGAAACCAGAATTCTATTGCCATTTAACCAGATTTTACAACTTTTCTGGTCAGATTATTTAGAACCAGAATTCCAGTCAATTTAACTATTTTTTAATATTTTCTAGATGGATTATTTAAAACCAGAATTTCACTTAATTTAACCAGAATTTTACTTAATTTAACCAGAATTCTATTGTTAATTTAACCATATTTTACAATTTTTTCTGGATAAATTATTTCAAACCAGAATTCCTCTTAATTTAATCAAAATTCTAAAGATTCTCAACCAGATAATACCATTTTTTTCTTGTCAAATTATTTCAAACCAGAATTCCACCGAATTTAACCAGTATTCTAGTTAATTCAACCAGAATTCTTGTTAATTCGACTAGAATGCAGTGTTAAATATATTTACCTTTATCTATTTTCCGGTTTTGATTAAGTAAAACCAAAATTCCAGTTAATTCAATCAAAATTCTTCAATTTAACCATATTTTACTCTTTTCTCTGATTACATGAATAAAAACCAAAATTCCAGTTAACTATTCCAGTTCTACCAAATTTAACCAGAATTCCCGGTTTCTTTTTTAACCAGAACTTTTTTCAGTGTACAAAAAAAATGAAAAAAAAACATCAAAAATATAAATAAATAAAAAATGAAATTACTGAAAAAATTCAGTAAGAAGTGGTGATTGAGGGGGGGGGGGGGGAGATGTAATAAACACGGACAAAAAGGAAAGGTCTGCTCATTTATACACACATGGGGACATAATGAAGTTGGTCGCATTCTAGTAACAAGAACACTGGCGACACACGATCATCTCGTTAGTTTGCAATTACGTTCGAGAGCCTTTCGAATACACACGCGCTTGGGCTCCTTAAGGCTCCTTTTCTACTATATATATTTTTATATATATATATACGTTGTGTGCTGTACATTGTATTTACAATGATATACAATTAATGTAGGGTAATGATTACACGGGCAGATTACCGGCGAACGGATTAAGCGTCGTCGCATTAACGAAACAAGTGTATAGACTCGAAATTTCACATATACATTGTATTTTGCGCAAAACAAAAAAAGGATAAGAGCAATTTGTCTATATTTTCTCCTTTTATTTGAATTTTTCGAGTTTCTGTTTTATTTATTTATTTTTTTTTTTATTTCATCTCGGGGAAATTGGAAAGAGTTTCAGTCTTGTATGTTTTTTTTCTAGTGTGTTTGTGGGGGGGGGGGGGGTGAAAATTAAGAGATGACTCGAAGCAGATAACGGAAAGAAAAATGTAGCTCTTGATGAATTTTTTTTTGAAAGAAAGAAAAATTTCTTTTTTTTTGGTCATCAAACTAACCTGCAGTTTGAATTGAAAAAAAATGCTACATTTTTTTTGCTTCTATTTTTTTTTTGTTTCTTTGGATCTTGTCTCTTTCCTTCCCTATCATCAAACTACTTTTTTTACTACATTTTTTTACGCTAGATTCTTTTTTTTCGAGGTGCTTAGAATCCTTACCTTCTTTTTTTCTTTAAATCTCCTGGTTTGTTTGGATTATCATCAGGTTCCTTTGAAATATCTCTTTGGTACGTTAGGTGGCCTGGTTTTTGGCTTTAGGATTTTCCCGTTTTTTCGTATTTTTTTTTTTGGCATGAGCTTTGTTTGTTTGTTTGTTTTTTTTTGTTTTTAGTTTTAATTGTTCGTTGCTGAACGAGGTCAAGATAATGAATTGTGACAATGACGATGACGACAACGATGAATGGTCGTCATGAAGGCTTCGCGTTACGTATTACTTGGATAACCGTAAGCGAAGCTGACCTCACGTCAGGGATAGTCGGGATGCATGAGATTGTACATGATCGCGAATATTGTGCAGGCTGCGTAGACGCCCAAGGCCACCCACCACAGGAGTTGCTCGTGCAGTCGTTGCTCGAAATTCTTGAGTACGAGAAGACCGATCGTCAGCCCGGCCAAAGCACCGGTCAGGTGCGCCACGTACGAGACAGGTGGACCCATCTGCTCAGCAGCATATCTGTCGTAGATGGCGAAACCCACGTCGGCGCTTGCTACAACAGAAAAAAAAAATGAGAAAATTTTTTTTTGTTATTCTTCTTTTTTTTATATACATACAATTAACAAATAACTGTACCAGCTGTCGAGAACAAAAAGAAATCATATAACAATGAAAATAAATAAACAGTAAAATAACATGGGAAATAAATAGTAAAGTAATAAAGAATAAGAAATTATCTGAATCACCTGAAAAAATTAAATTTTTACAATTCATAAGAAAATTCTAAATTTTTGGATCATTTTTGTTTGACGCATAAACTATAAAATACCACGAATTCTAATACAAAACCTTTTCTTTTTAATTTCTGGCAAAAATTTATTTTTAAATAACATAAATCTTGAACAACTATAATAAAAAAATAAATTATTTAATAAATAATTTTTCTTAAATATTTCAAAATTGATTTAATTTTAAAAGAGTTGCGTTTACAATTTTCATAAATAGATGAACTTCAAAAGATTTAAATTTAAAATTTAATCAAATTTCAATTTTCTATGAATTTAATTGAAAACTTTAAGGAACTTAGATTTTTGAAAAATTTTAATATTTCAAATTCTTCTGAAATTAGTTAAATTTGTCAATATATTTAAAAATAATGGACTTATAGAAGAATTTTAGTTAAAAACACTAAAAAAATTTGAATTTTGAAGAAGTTACAAATGATTGCAAGCATTCAATTATTTTCAAAAAAAAAAAAATAAAATTCTTATCTCAAAATTTAATTACGTTCAAAATTTACAAAAAAAAAATCTCGACAAAATCCCAATTATTATCTTTAAAAATAAAAAATTTATTCTTCTCTCTAAATTTGAATTAGAAAAATTGTTTACTAATTTAAAATTTTAGTGACTGACTTTTTGCCTTTGAATCAGTAAATTTGACTAATAAAATACTACTTCAAATTTAGAGAGTTCAAAATTCAATTATTTTCAAAAATTTTAATAAAATTCTTGACAAAATTTCAATTATTTTCAAAAATTTTCCGCATTTAATTAATTTTCATAAATAACAATATTCATCACAAGAATTCAATTATATTCAAAATTAATAAAATTCTTTGCAGAAATTCAATTATTTTCAAGGAATAAAAAAAATTGAAGTCAACATTTCAATTATCTTTATAAATTAATTTCAAAATTCAATTATTTTCAGAAATTTTAATGAAATTCATTGCGAAATTCAATTATTTTCAAAAATTGTAATAATTTGGTAAAATCTTTTAAAAATAATAGAAATTTGGTAAATTTTTGAAAAATAATTGAAATTTGAAAAAAACTTTGAAAAATAATTAAAATTTGATAAAATCTTTTAAAAGTAATTGAAATTTGGTAAAATCTTTGAAAAATAATTGAAATTTGGTAAAATCTTTTAAAAATAATTAAAATTTGGTAAAATATTTTTAAAATAATTAAAATTTGGTGAAATCGTTGAAAGATAATTGAAATTTGGTTAAATCTTTTAAAAATAATTGAAATTTGGTAAATCTTTGAAAAATAATTGAAATTTGATCAAATCTTTTTAAAATAATTGAAATTTGGTAAAATCTTTGAAAAGTAATTGAAATTTGGTAAAATCTTTGAAAAATAATTGAAATTTGGTAAAATCTTTTAAAAATAATTAAAATTTGGTAAAATATTTTTAAAATAATTAAAATTTGGTGAAATCGTTGAAAGATAATTGAAATTTGGTTAAATCTTTTAAAAATAATTGAAATTTGGTAAATCTTTGAAAAATAATTGAAATTTGATCAAATCTTTTTAAAATAATTGAAATTTGGTAAAATCTTTGAAAAGTAATTGAAATTTGGTAAAATCTTTGAAAAATAATTGAAATTTGGTAAAATCTTTTAAAAATAATTAAAATTTGGTAAAATATTTTTAAAATAATTAAAATTTGGTGAAATCGTTGAAAGATAATTGAAATTTGGTTAAATCTTTTAAAAATAATTGAAATTTGGTAAATCTTTGAAAAATAATTGAAATTTGATCAAATCGTTTTTAAAATAATTGACATTGGTAAATCCTTGAAAAATAATTTAAATTAAGTAAAAAATTTTATTAAAATTCGTCAAAAGAATTCAATTATTTAAAAATTTGTTAATAAAATTCTTTATAAGAATTAAATTTTAAGAAACATTCAATTATTCAATAAATAAAATAAACAATCATGAAAATAATTTTGAAGAAGTAACAGTAACAATATTCTTTATCTTATAATATAAAATAATGATTTTAACATTCGATTCTATTTAATTATTATAAAACATGAAAAAATCATGAAGAAATCATTTTATAACAATATTTTTAAAGTTGAATAATTTCAAAAAGGTTTGAATATGAAATTTTTGAAAATCTTAATTTCCATAAAAAAATAATAATAATTAAATACTTAAAAGATTTAAAAAAGAAATTATTGTTTTTGAATAATTTTACAATTATAAAGATATTATTAAATTCGTAAATTTTATTATTAATCATGAAAAAATATATGAATGAAAGAATACGAAGATTAATATATTTAATGGTGTATTAAGGAGAATTAATCATCCATTAAGAATAAATTAATTAATATTAAATTATTTATTAAATAATTAAAATTAATTAATTAATTAATTATTTTATTTATTAAATTATTTATTAATTAATTATCTATTAAGAATTATATACTGTCTATTAAAATAATTGTCAAAATTATACAATTTATACATTTAGGAAAGAAATTCATTAATTTACAAATTGCATTTTTGTAAATGAGTAAGTGAGTGATTGAATAGTTGAACACCATTTAGTATCAATTAAAAATCAAAATGTCGACTTCAATATGGCAGAAGGTCATCGATAAAACAGTTTTCGAAATAAAAAGCAATTAAAATCAAATTTTTTATTCCCTCACTAATATATTCAATTTTTTCTCTGTAATTTTTATAGAATGGACTAATATATTTCATACAAGATTAGAAAAATTCTTTTCTTCAACTAAAGTTAACTAAAATTCCAATTAATACCTACTTGCATTAAAATTCAAGTATTAATAGAAATTTTGAAAATAATTATTCAGGAAAATTAAAAGAAATTTAAAGCAAATTTTACAGGTACTGTGACAAGTATACTTTTACTTGACTCAAGTAAATTTATTTATTTATTTTTTTTTTTTTTTAATTGCTAATGTTAATGTTAATTGCTAATGTTAATTACGAACATCGTTAATGGGCATGAGTGTTATTAATGTAATTATAAGTATTGGATTATAAATTGAAAATAGTAGTAAAATAATTTTGCGCTACTGTGAAATTACAATAAGTGAATCTATAAATTACGTCACTATCGAATCCAAAAGTGTCACCTAAAGTATTGTAGTAATAAATCTAAAATAGTCTTAAATAGTAAAATTTAAAGGAAGCAAACAAATTTTGGACGGTGGATAGAAATTTCGTTAAAAAAAAAAAAAAAATTGAAAAGAAAAGTAGAAAAAAAAAGAGTGTCGAGAAGAAGTGAGCGGAAAACGGTGAAGAGATCCAATTACTCGAAGAAGCGCTTGAGGTAGTAACGGCTTACAAAGTGCCCACGATTTCGCAAAGCTCTATTCCTCGGCACACTCTTGCATCAGGCTAAACTTTATATATATATATACACTTATAAGTATAAATATATATATTATATATATATTATATATATATATTTATATGTGTGTATAGATATACGTTCGTTGGTTCATGGTTGGCGCGTATGTGGCTTACTACTCTGTGTACACGCTTGTAAACTCGACAACCTCGTGTACATACACCGGCAGTAATACGGCTAACCTTAGGCGAAGTGCAAACGAGGGGTGGCATCAAGGGAGAGTGAGAGAGAGAGAGAGAGAGAGAGGAGCAGTCTCGTAATCCCAAAGGAATAATCCATATTGGTTGCCATGAGGCTGCACCACGGAAACTCTGTCTGGACAAGACTACTTCTCATACTCTGGTTTCACGAATTATCCGGACTATATTCTACAAAGGCCGCCGACTATCGATATTGTCATCCACAGAGCTCCAGGGGGACTCTAATAAAACTGTAATATCCGCTTGATTGTCGCTTTTTATGACAGAGAAAAATTTAATGGAATTTGTCTGCCTGTTATTATGCTTTGAAAATGAGAGAGTGCGAGGGGGCAAAAAGAGAGAGATAGTGTGAGAGAGAGAGAGAGAGAGAGAGAGAGAAAGAGGGAGGCGAAAAAACAAGAAAGAAAATAGTGTCTCAAGAAATACTTTTTTTCTTTTGCAATTTGTATTTTTTGCAATTGACACTAACATCAATCAAGATGCAAGTCCATTTATTATGCTCGGAAAATTGAAGATGTAAAACCAATTGATTGGGACTTGTTATCCCTTCAATAATTTAGTCAGTTTACTTCTTGTTGATTTTTATTGAATTCATATAGTGTTTATTTTATCCTCGAATTTAGAAATTCTATTAATTCGATTCTTGGAGTTTAATGAATATAAATTGATATTTTGAAATTCTTAATATTATTATTAATAAAAAAATTATTAAAGTAACTTTTTTTTAACTTTTGTTAAAATTAATTTAAGAATGTAAAAATTTTTAATTCAAATTTTTTTCATAAAAATAATGAATTGAAATATAGTTTTAATATAATTATTATAACTATAATAGTAATTTATTCTGACACGGGAAATTCAGGAAAAAGTCAGACATTTTAAAAGTGCTGAAAAAAATTAAATATTTAGAATTCATGAGAAAATTATGAATTTTTGTGTCTTTTTTGTTTGACCCATAAACTATGAAATTACTACGAGTTCTAATCATGAAATTATTACTTAGAAATTATTTAATGAATAATACTCAAATATTTCAAAATTAATTGAATTTTAAAAGAGTTGCGTTTACAATTTTCGTAAATAGAAGAATTTCAGATGGTTTTAATTTGAAATTTGATAAAATTTCAATTTTCTATAAATTTAATTGAAAACTTTAAGGAACTAAGATTTTT